ACGGAGCTTAACGCTAAAGCTCAGCCGTTCGGGGTAGCGTTCAAAAAGCCGGCATATGATGCAGACACGCAAGTTCTCCGAAACGGCCTGTTCGATCGCCTTGAAATATTCTCCAATCGATTCCGTGCAATGAGGTGAGTCATGAGAGGAAATAGCGAGAGCTGACCTGGGGTCAAACACCTGGAAAACGCGAAGGAAAAATTTCACATGCAAATGCAGACAACTCAGATCTCAGAGCCTACTGCAGCAATCGCTGTGAAACCTTCATCATTGGATGCCACATACATACCTGATTCCCTCTCGCGGTGCCGAATTTGGTGACGATAGGGCAGGTCAAAAGCTGTCAAAATTCACAGATCTAAAATGCTTGCTTGCAGACATTTCATTCAGGAACTATTGCTCCGATCATCTCCAAACCTTTGTCGCTCGATGGGACACACCTAGCAACCGCAATATATGTCATAAGATAATACGCTATTGTATTTGTACTACCAAAGCGCGCGCGCACTTCTGTTTTTGTTTTTTTCGGTCGTTTCCATTACAACAATGATATTATATATATATATATATATATATATATATATATATATATATATTGTGCGCTAATGCAAGGTCAGTAGCATACAGACTGCTAGTGCAGTCCTCTTTTTGGTGGGCAAAACAAAATACACTGCAGACGAGATATTTCCTCCGGCACATTTGGGACTGTCGTAATCGTCTGATCAAGCATTGACACGGCGGCGGACAACACGCACGGTAAAGCTCGAAGTTCCCGACGACTAAAGCAATGACGTTTCTTCCGTCAGTCTTGCCCCTGTTTGCTTCTGAGATGTGTACCTCCGTCGCAATCTATACACACAGTGCAGAAAGCATGTTCCCTGAAGGATTCTGAGGTCATTGATCTGGCACATGAGGACACCAACCAAGTCGGTCTATTTCGGTGCAGGCTCAGCTCGATTTGGCGGACTTCTGGACGACTTGGAACCGGCAACCAACACAAGACAGCTGAGGAGGCATGTAAATAATGACAACAGAACGGTATTCGCACACCATACCAAAAAAATCAGCCACGCGCCATGACGTGTTCCATGGCCAAGGTTCTGTTAATCGTGGCGACACCATGCAAAATTCAGCGCGTGATTTTCAGCACAAAACCTCCGCTGAGGAGAAATTCAACCTCGTAAGGCCAGCCTAACCAAGTTGCACTTTTTCTTGGGGCCAAACATAGAGGAAAAGAAATAGTTATAAATGACACCATACTTGCAGCTTCAACAGAAAATTATGCTAAATGGCGTATTGGATAGTAAGGTTATCTATCTAAGGTAATCCATCGGCCTGGTGGAGTTTGGAACTGCAAGAGAGAATCAGGCATGGGGCATCCAATGGGGAAGGTTTCACAGCGATCGGTGCAGAAGGCTCTGAGATCTGTGTTGTCTGTATTTGCAGGTAAAATTTTTCCTCCGCGTTTTCCATGTGTTTGACCTCAGGTCAGGTCTCAATATTACCTTCCCATGACTCACCTCATTGAACTGAATCGATTGGTGAATGTTTCAAGATGATCGGACGAGCCGTTTCGGAGAACTTGCGCGTCATATGCCGGTTTTTCAGACCCTGCCTCCGTTTGGCCCCGGCTTCAGCCGTACTGGGGCCCGTGCGGCACGCATGTGTTACGCCGAAAGATAACCAGAGGTTCCTCTGTGTTCAATGTTCTCGCTTCGCTGGGTGGCGGCGCAATAGAACAACTGAGTCACGAAGCAAAAGAAGATTGCAATTGGGCAACGCAATGCATCCCCTCCGAAGATATAAGCGAGGGGGTGGACATTGTCGAAAACATGCGGAACCCGGAAAGCCCAAGAAACAGCTGGCAACTACTGGAGGGAGTATTTGCATACATTCTCTGGTTCAGGGTCATTGAGAGAAACCAGAAAATTGGGCTGGTGGCTGCTTTGGTGTGCGACTTCCTTCACGCAGCTTTGAACCCGCACATGTGCAAGTAATGAACCTTCTGACAAAATAATCTGCATAGTTTTGAGTTGCAAAAGGATAATTGAGACTGTATGCTAGATAGACAATTACATTGCCCAGCCAATGCTCCGAACAATCCACCCATCTATGCATAAGATGTGCTGGTTGGGCCTGTGCCGTGCAGTAGACCAGCGGTTACAGGAAACATACAGGAGTTGTTTTGATGTCGGTTAAATGCCCGATCGGGTGAATCAATCGCGTGCAAAACGGCCCTTGTTGTTGTCGCACCTGCACCTGGTATGAATAAAGAGTGGCTGCGCAACGCGTAAGGAGCGAAGCATTCGCCGCGATGGCAGACTAACACATAGGGGAGCGACACTTTTGTTACGCAGTCACGGTCGCAAACAAGCCCCGTGTGATGTCTGGTGAGGCTCCACGACCTGCTTGGCCGCGTCACACAAAAAAAAAACAGTTCACAACGTGATTGGTAGAGCCCAGTTCAGCGGACGAGGCATGGTAAGTCATGCATCCGACTTAAACTGATGTGACCTGACTTTCAGAAGCTATTCCTCGCATACCACTGGCAATGCACCGGTTATAACAATGGCATAAAGTTATCAGCTGAGTGCCAACTGTTGTCGGCCAGTAACAGGGGCTGGCCATTGGCGGCGCGGTGCGGTGTCCAGTGGCGTTCTGGCCGGCGCAGGATGGGGCAATAACGGCGTGACGGACAACAACACTCAGCGGTGGTCACAACCTCAGCTGAGCTCGACCAATCTGAGCTGTGTTCGAACCAAGCTGAGCTGAGCTGGGCTGAGCTAGGCCGAGCCGAGCCGAGCCGAGCCGACCTCAGCTGAGCTGAGCTGAGTTAGGTTGTGCTGACAGGTCGGCCGTCGGCGGGGTGGACGCAAGGACAATCCAGCCGCCGCCGCCGGCGAGGTCGATTGAGGCAGACCCCGGCAACGACCGGCGCCAAGTCTCACTCACGCCTATGACGGCTACAAAGGACATTGTTTCCAAGCGGGAGCCAGGAGGCAGCAGAGAGGCGGCGTTCCCAGTCAGGCAGTCGGAGAGGTCGTGTCCTACGGGACTCGATTTCAACCTGTACCGCTTTCGTGCTGGCAATTTATCGGGTGTGGTCAAAGGTGTGTGTTGTGGTTAGTGACGGACGAATGCCGTAAGATAAGATACTGCGATGGGGTTCTGTGCCTTGCATATAAACGATCTGACATCTCGCCGGACGTCTCATTTATCTTTGTTCATAATTTTTGCAATTCGAGAATCGGTCCGCTGTCGTGAGACTAAAACTTTGATGAGACAGAATCGGATCCCATTTATCACGGCCTCTAACCGGGATAACTTTGCAGTTTCTGTGCCCCGGACCCTACCACGAACGTGATTTAGTATCATTTTATGACCCCTATGCAAATACCGATTTCTTGCATGCGCAATTCACGAAATTTTTATGGAAGATTTTTGGGAGGCCCGGTTGTACGCGATTGTTTTGGTGCATTCCGTAACCAAGACACCAATTATAAGTGCACTGGATTGTCTTTTTTATGACGTGTCAAGAGCAAAGAGTTTTTCTGTTGCCACATTTGCGCGTTTATTCGCAAAAAGCATCGTTTGAGTATGTATTTGTCATGAACATAAGCAAGCCGACTACGTCCACTGAAAAGCTCGTTGAATTCGGAATCATATGAGGTAACTGATAACTAAAGCCAAAACATGTAAAACACGTGAGTATTATGCGGATATTGGTGACGGTGAGCTGTAATAGCCATTCATGGTTTAATTCTATTAATTATCAATTACACTGGCTGAAAGCCGAGCAGTTTTCATTTCCCACTTCTCCTTCTGTGCTGGTAATAACGCATCGTTTCGGCTGGTGACATCAGCAAAAAAGGGACATTATCCGCCTTCCGGTCGATCGTTCACGTTGCCACATATTAGTTGCAAAAGATATGGGTTGGATAGTGTTGATAGTGACTTGTAGACGGTCTTTAAATTCTCTGGCATGACACACTTCGTCTGAGATGTCCACACAGGTGCCCCAGCTGCCGGGCACTGATACCGTTTCTGACAATCCTCGAAAAACGGCGATGTCTTGGCACGCGCTCGAGTGCGCTTGACCGGTTGCATGCATCTGCCTACACGCTTTACCTTTCCATAAGCGCTTTCTCCCCCGTCAAATGATAATGGTCTCGTGTCGCTTCACCCCGGGATCGTCCAGATATGGGCCCTGCTTCACTGCCTGTTGTGGCCTTTTTACAATTTGCAGTCCACACCTTCTATGTCAAACGAACGGAGCAGGCTGTTTTGCACACGGCGCAGTGCTGTCGGGAAATCACGTTTGATAAAACAATAAACAGTGAGAACGGCTGCTAAGAAATTGCGTGTTTAGTTCCTGAGCACTTTATGAAGCCGAGATCACACGGTAGCTTCTGGAAAGCGTAAAAAGGAACGTCCCGCGTTCGGTTGAGCGGCGAGCATCAGTGAAAGTTTCACCCTGTTTAAGTGCGATTTACGCAGCCCTCGAACTTGTGATAAGTTGGGAAAGGTACATAAGAATATGCAAACAACGACAAGAAGTATGGCAACTTAAACTAACCAAAAAGTTACGAGGGAGTAAAGTCAGGAACAAATGAAAAGAACGGCGACAAGCTTGATAGATGCGAATAAAGCTTACTAATAAAGGGTACGTTAAGTGACTGGCGAATATAAAAACACAAACAATGAGTATTAAGCTAATACAAATTGAAAGCAGCGCAACGAGGAACAAATAAAAACAAAGGGAACAAGCTTAATGAATATGAAAAAGACGCGCTTTTGACTTGCGTCCCTTTGCAATTAAAACGGAAATTAAGAGGCACGATGATATGGTTACGCATATCATCTTTATCCCCGGCCAGTTTCCCTGGTCACAGTATCGTAACCAGCTGACAGATTCGCATCAAACCCAGACCAATCAGCAGTGATCCCAGTGCCGTCAGCGGCGGCCGCAGCACGATCGTGCGGGCACGGGCGTCACTCACCGAGCACGAGCACCGCCAGGTCGGACACGGCCAGGCTGAACAGGTAGTAGTTAGTGGCCGTCTGCAGCGCAGAGTTCTTGATGATGACCAGGCAGACGGCAACGTTGCCCACCACGCCCGTCACGAAGATGATGACGTACACGATGGTGATAGGCAGCACCACCTCCAGCGGCAGGTACTTGGGCCCGACCGTGTACTGCAGGAACGTGGCGGCGTCCTTATACTCGTACGGGTCGGTGATGTTCGTCACGTTCGCCATGGCCCCCGCCCTCGCCGGCCAGCGACTCACTCCTGACCGCGAGTCGGAATCGGAGTCAGAGTCTGAGTCGGCAGGCCGATCAGCCGACGCCCGTCCTAGTCACAGTCACAAGCAGGCTGCAACTGCAACGGCCCACGAGCGGCTCAGTCCTCAAACGCGCGCGAACGTTTCGCCAGTCCTGGAGCACCTCCCCTCGGACCCCGAGCGGCTCCCTCGCTTGGTTCCGAGGCACCTTCCCTTCTCAGTCTACAAACACCTGGTGCGCCGGATCTCGAGGCACGTTCTTCGCTCAACCTCGGCACGCGTTCCTTGCCCGGCCCCGGAACGCCCCGTTCGCTTGGCACCCGGGTGTCGACGGCGCGCTCGCGGTGCGCCGACGCTCGAGCCCGCGGCGCGGCTGCGAATGCGGCGGCGGCGGCGGCGGCGGCGGCGGGTCGTGTCAGCGTCGCCCGCAGCCGGCGTCTGCGCCCCTGAAACAGCGGCACGCGGCGCGAGCTGGGAGGCTGCCACCGGCGCGGCTGGCGACAGCCAAGCTGGCTAATGAGCGGGTAGGACGGGCCGGATAATTGAGCCTGTCGTCCGCCTGTTGGCAGGCGCTCGTCGCCGCGGCACTGGCATAGCGGCGCTTCTGGTACCGTGGTGAGCGTAACCTGCGACCCCAGTGGCGCCGGTTCACGTGGTGCTGGAGGGAGGGACGGCAGCCACCTGCTTCTGGGCACGAGGCACTGGGAGTGACGGGTCACCTGGCACTGGGCGTGGGTTGCAACAGTAAAAGGTCACCTGATATCTTAACAATCTCAATGTCAGGAGTCGTAGCGAAAATAGGGCTCACGGACCGAGCGAAGGACTAGGTTATTGATTCCCTGATACAAGAGTCGCACACAGTGACGACGTTCCCCTGATACAAGACGAGGGATGCGAGTGAATGGTTGGCGTGACATAAGGCAACAATCGCACCAGACGAAGGGATCACTTGACAGTCCAGAGGTCAGCTGATATCGAGAAAGTCATATATGGCCGATATCATCGGGTAAAGGGGTTACCTGGAACCAGACGGAACACGGAAGGGGGCAGAAGTCGAACCGGATGAAGAGGCAACATGATATCATAAAGCGGTGACACGGCACAAAGGGGTCGCCTAAAATGGGGCATGAGTCACGCTGGGTGAAGAGGTCGCATGACATGTTGACAGCATTCATACAGGACAGACAGGTTACTTCAGGACATGAACAGCGGAGCGCGAAAAGAGAAGAGGCGAACCAGACTTTGCACCTGCTAGGATTAACCCAAAAGACAGCAGAGATATTGGTCATGAAACAGCGCTTTGAATACAAATCGTAACCCTCCCCTACCACCATAGTGCTTGAGGAGCGAGAAGCCAGGCCGAAGCCCAAATCCGCATCGCCTGGAAGCCGAACTGCCAGGAGGCCGAGCCCTGGCTTCCTGAGCTCGCTTCCTCCTGTCGCAGCTGATCATCCCAAGCCAGCTTGAGCACTGTACGGCAGGATTCTGTGTAGCGCGCTCCGCCGCGCCACCACTGGCGAAGGTTCGGGTGCCAGTCCGCTGTCAATTTTCGAACCATATTTGGACAGCGAACATACCGCGGCCCTAATGCATGCGTGCCTAGTAGTGGCAGGGATACGTCAGTCTTTGTGCGGAAACCTGCGAGCTGCTCATCACTTAAGCAGAGATTTAATATCTTGAGAATGAAGCGCTCACCTTCTTAACGGGCCATAACGGGCCATAACATAGGTTTTGAAACAGTGGGGCAGAGCACCCTTAATGAAATGCTGCAGTCGTCTCTGGCCGCGCTTTGGCACAGCACGAGAGTGCGACATTTCTTCTCAGGAAGGGAAATTGACACTTCATTTTATCCTTTGGCGGAGCTCGGGCAGTGGCTTGTCAGCGAACTGCTCGCTCAGTTTTGTATGGACGCTTCAAGGTTTTAGTTTCTCAATCTTATGTTACAATCTTTTACACTGACAAGCCAGATAACGAAATAACTGGTCGAGTGTTAACGAGCCAACTCAGAAGTATATTCAGCACACAAGGAACGCATTTTGCGACTCTATAAAAGTAAAATCATAACGGAAACAGCTCCCTTCGTTTCTAGATGTGGTATTTTACCGGCATGTCATTATATTTGTTCTCTTGTTATTAAGCATTCCCTGACGTAACTCTGGGCGTAGAGCTTCTAAAAAGTGGTCACCTGGCAAGACACATCGTTAACGTGACCTGCAATTTGGTGTAGGGCCATCTGTGATTAGCTAGAATGCCATGGAAAGTTTCCCCACATGTAGTGTTTATGGCTTAAAATTGTGGCAGCGTGAATATAGAATGTTAAGTTGGATATATATATATATATATATATATATATATCCTCCCAGAACATTTCAAATGAAAAACGACATCTATTCGCAATTAGCTACGGAGGACATGGGTACTCAGCTTCACTAGTTTATCAGTCGAGGTTTCGGACATGCAATTCTGAGAAAGTGAACTTCAATCGCCGCAGTAACGTTCAAGTTGTTCGTGCTAATCATCTGAGGTATCACCCACGTGCTATGTGATATTGCAATGTTCATTCACCAATCTCACGCCCATCCCTCACCAGTGAAGGAGATAAAACATTGCACGCTTTCCCAGTAACATCTGAAACAGTAACCAGACATTCTATTAATAGATCATTATTCTTTACAACTGTGCCTAAGAGATGCAAAACTGTCAAGCAGCTAACACGCAAAAATCCGGCCCCAAAGGCTTTTAGTCGCGTTGTGGGGCAAACTTGGCGGGTTTTTGCAGTTCAATGATTTTGACAAGCAAAATAGCGTAAATTTGGCTTTAATTTAGTTTCAAAAACCATCCGAAATCAGAGAAGGATGTCAAAATAAATATATTTTCGCAAAAATCCTATTTGATTTCACAACAGGGGCCACAGGGACAGAAACCACATGGCAGACATGACACACTAGCAAACCAGGCTGCAAAAATTTAGCAAGCTTAAGCAAACATATTACTGAAAAACTCAAAAATAACAACCCAAAATTGGCATAGTTTTGCCTTATTTTACTGAGGAGGAGTAAGACAGGTCATTATTAAAAACACAGCCGCGCACTGCGCTTGGCTGCCATTGTGAGAGTGATACACACTTAAAGTTTTTGTTTTACACACAAACCATACCTCAATCAACATCAATCATCAATGAAGTGAAAGCGAAATCATATGCCTCTCATTGCCCTAGCCTCACTCACTTGTCAATACAGCCTGCATTTATTGGCGCATCCACGGGTGTCAATTTTTATTCTTTTGTGAGGGCCCTGGCCCCCTATGTTAAGGTGGCACCCTCCCAACCCAATGTTGGTTTTGACCCCCTCATATTTTGGGTTGGAATTTTACAAAACTGTGGGAAACAGCTGACCATTACACAAAGAGGATCTTCCCTGACCATTCCTCGTCGTGGCGTCGCCGGGTCAGATGCAGCTGGCTAACATGATGCCACAATCTCAATATTATTACTATTATGTTCTCAATTGAGAGGTAAGTTTAGACATTCGGTAAACCATCCTGTAACTTGACGTTTTTTTTGTTCGTCAAATGTAAGCCCGACGCTTTTTCCCTTCATCAAACATGATATTGGCGCCACTGATGTAAGATCTCACACCATAACACAATTGGGCACGAATTTCGGTTTATTTTGACGCGGCATCCATGGTGCAGATTATGGTTGCAGCTCGGTTACAACATGGTCATACGAAAAAAACAGCATCTTCTTTGGCCAGATGTTTCATTCGATTCCGTGCTAAACATAGTCTAAACCTAGCATTCTAAACCCATCATTCCATTATCATATTACACGGTCAAGCGATCCATTTGGCCTTGGTTCCTTATCCAAATAGCACAAAAGAACCTTTACCGTGCCATGCGACTAAACGTATGTCGGCTGCTCTGTAGCCAGGATGACACTATCAAGTCAAAGGCTATATGGCACTCGTTGGCGAGCCATATATGAACAATTATTCTGGAAGGCAAACCCAGCACTACGCGTTCCGCCACATCATGAATGTGATCAGCATTCCTTCAACGCCCTACCAAAGTGGGGCCTCGGCAACGACGGTTCGTGTCTCTGCGCGGCAGTTTACGTTCTTTTTGCGAGCATTTTGCGTATTCTTTCTTCACTAACTATTTTGGTCAAAAGATATCACCTGCGACATAAAGCTGAGTTACGCCTACTTCAACTCTGATAAATACATGACGCCAATAATCGGAACAGTGCAGGGGTAGCTTTTGGTAGCCTACGTTTTCTTGGACAATATTAAGAGAAAGCTTGAGCCACGTCTGGAGCCATGCGGCCAATGTGTTTGAAAATAGGTATACAGCTGCGTTCTTCTTTCATTCTAGGGATTCGACGGTTCGGGATTAACTCAGACTTTCAAGTTGGAAAGGTTTCAGGTTTCAGGTGCATTGCTGCGTGCAGAAGATAATGACGCCATTTAATCATGCGCGATCTTAAGCATTTAAATAAAATTTATGTTGTAGGTTGATATCTATCTCTATGTTTTGCTGATGAAGAACAAGTTCATATGAAATTTAAATGGCTTATATAACATGACATATATTCATTGGACGGAAAGTTGCGTGTACCTCAGGCAGCGCAACAGCTATTTGATAATACCCATGAAGGAGGTGGTTCTATTAATAGTAGATGCATTTTCGACAGGACTATTACAGCCAACTTCCCCTCATTGTTGTGTTAACAACGCATTTTTTTTGTATCCGATTGAAACAGCTTGCTTTTATTCTCAATTCCACGCAAATTGATCAATGTGAATTGTTCGGTATGAGATGTTAACCACAATTGAATGTTGCTGAGCAACGTCGATGATGGTTGCGTTGTTGATTACAATTTTTAAATGACAGTTGCGCTGCAAATATGGTACGACGCCAAATTCACACCGAATTTTTTACGCACTGGTCGCGATTCACACAAAAATCGTGACTTAGATGCAGAAGCGTTTTACACGGGAGACGCTGTGACTTAAATCCAATCACAAAAAATAATATTGGTGAGGCCGTTTTTAGGATAGCAATACCTTTAGCTGCTTAATTGGAACGCCACCATTCCGGATTTTTTGTTATCAACATTTTTTACTTAGATATGATACATATAACAATCTGATAAGGAGGTACTTCCTTCGGTGTCCCTCTTTTTATATGACACCGCCCAGGAGGCCCCCTTATGAGGGGGCCCACCTTGTCCAGGAGGCCCCCTGGAAAATCTTGCCCCCGATTCCAAATCTGTGGCGTCGCCCCTGCATCCAGTCCCTTCATCGATTTCATCGATCCTCCTTAGACAAACGATG